AAACCATGACCAGACAATCAGTAAGGAGTGGCCCTAGTCTAACAAAAACTAAAATGACGCCACTGGCATTCAATAATAAACTGAATACATTTTACGTGAACTGCTAGGTATAATATGCTTTAAAATAGTATAATAATACAGTAAGCATTATATGTGTAAGATTTTCGATGATAAATTATCATATCTAAAATATCTATGTTATTTGAATTAAATATTAGTATAGATATTTGTACTTATCTGTATGGCTAGTATTAACTAAGCCTATGTTTATAGTATATATGTTTATGTTTATAGTTACAATATTTTTCAACTAATTAAAATGTTTAATATTTTAGCATGTATCGAGTGTAAGATTCAGATACGATGGCTTAGAAATGTTGGGTACTGATACACCTTTAACTCACGAACTGGAAGATGGCGATATTATTGATGCACATCACTGCTAACTACTTATTAATTTATATTTTATGTATAAATCACATTCAATGCAAATCATCTTAGTTTGTTAAACCTAAATACCATACATTATATATTTTATAAAATGTTGGCTGTATTAAAAATTTGTCATAAATAATAAAAATAAGAAATATAAGTATATAGAACAGAATTTAAATAAAATATTTGATGAATACTCTATATTATATAATATACTCTATACTCTATATAAGCATTTTTATTCTTGCTATAATGTTATTTATTAATATTATTATTTTCAAATATTTCTCTAACTTAATAATAAATGTTTGATATGATCAATAAGGTTTATTTATTCAATCCATTATATTTAATGCTACTGTAGTATGTATAGCTTAAGTTATGTGACACTCTACTACCAACTCAAGCTCAGCTTAAAGGTAGTAGATATAACTATATTTTTGTTTTAATTAAAAAAAAAATGCACTTTTTTTGATGTAAAAATTAAGTTCTGCAAATTCGTCTAAACTTAGAATATCAAACAATTGGATTATATTCACATTTTTAATTCTTAACTAATTTTTATTTTTATTTCTAGTTAAAAAAATATGTTTTAATTATTTATTTAACAATAATAGTAGAGCCAGTTCATTTTTAACTTTCAAAAGATAAACACATTTAAATAAAATAAGTAGTAACTTATGTGAAAATATGATTGTAGATTTATTCTATAAGTCTGCCAATCGCTATCACTAATAACAACTTGTTTATGTCCGTGGCTACAACTAAATATTACATATTAATGTAATGTATTATTACATATTAATGTATTAATGTATATATTTGACATTTTGTTTTTACGGTTTGTAACTCTCGACTGTTGGAGTAAAAATTGGTTGTATCATCTGTCGAGAATAGCTCATGACCCGCATTTACATCCAATTTTGAATTATATGATGGGGTGGACTGTCTGCATCAGACCGATAATTGTCAATATCTTATATGTCTAGGCAATGAACAATTTTAGCAAGATAGAAGAAGTCAAGGTACCATTACATAGTCTTTTCCAATTGAATATTTGAACCTATTGAATCAACTAAAAAGTAATAAACATTTGAATACAATTTAATTGTCATAATATATAAAAAAAAAAATGTTACATAATATCTTACTTGTGCTTTTGAACTTCTGTTAGCCGGTCAGCTGGATTATCTCTGAAAAAGAAAATTAGTCAACTGAATTATAATAAATATTTTGCTGTCCGGACCATAAATATGATTATTATATTATGTTTGATTGAATGCCAGTAGATATATTTGAAAGTACAAAATTATGATGCTTATTGGTTTACACGTCTACATTTAAACTTTAACTAAATTTAAAAAATATATCACTTTAATAGAACAATATTGTTTTTGTTTGAAGATTAAATCAAGAAGTACGTATCCCATTCAACCGTAAAATTCAAGCGTTAAATAGCAAACTTAGAGATGATATAACTTCTAAAATAATGAATAGCGCAATTATTTTTTTTTGCACCATTCCTTAACTTGTTCAAGTATTTGTTAAAAAAAAAAAAAAATGTGTGGTAGCTAAACTGCAATTGTTCCATAGTTTTAAAGTGTTCATTCAAAAATTAATTTTTTGACAAATAAAGACTATTTAGTAAAGGTTTACCAAAATCAAATAAAAAAAGAATCTTTGGTGAGATTTATTACCTATAAATTATAATATTTTTTTTTTATTTAGCACAACATTATTATTTACATTTTTATCTAGAGGTAGTTTTTAATATTATTAGTATGCATTCCCTACATTATTATACATTTTGAATTGAATTATTACTGTTGATTAATTTGTATTGTTTATGTGAGTGTTAAATCATATTTTGTAACATTGTAACATGATTCCCTATAAAGTATACTTATAAACCTTAAAGTTCCTCTTGGCCATCGGCTGACGTCACATTTACCAACACAGTTACACTTTAAATTAAAGGATCTTAACGGTTGCCTACGGTCAAGACGAACTGAACGGATTATACCATGAATTATTCGATGAATGTAGTAATTTTACAATGGTCAATGATGTATTTATTTTAGACTTTTTATAAAGTCTCATATACATGTAAATACTTACTGTGTTTTAAGACTCAAAAAGCTCATCTACTTCACACAAAATACTTAAATAAAATAATAAATATTATGCGAACAATTTAGACATACCTATAAACACGTATAATTAGCATAGTTTTTTGCTATTCAGTGTCTGAATTTCAGTTAACAAATTTGTTTGATAGCAAAAAAATGATACCGATGATACAGTCATTGCCAGATAGCTTAGATCCACAGATATATATTATTAAACTAGATATCCGACTCTGTATGGACTATGCTGGTCGCCATATGCAGTTTGGGCACTGCTTACAAAATATAGATGTTATCAATCCTCGTGATATCAATTAATTAAAATGAAAGTTCTTTTAAAATAATATTGGCGGCTGAAAAAATCCTTTTAAATTTAACAAATAATCTAACAAACCATTAACATACCCAATTCAAATAATAAAATAATGTACCAATGCACTAATAACTTGTCTCTTGATCGTAATATATTTAGTGAATTAGATTGCAATTGTAGTCTATTGGAACGACCCCATAAAATTACTTTAATTTCCTTACTAATAAATAGATATTTAAGTGTCAGATTAAAATCATTTGGCAAAGAATATTCTGCTATATACTACCAGTAAACGACATAAATAAAAACAAATTAATTTGATTTTCTAATGATTTTCTAATCATTAAGTATTAACTTAGTAAGAAATTATATTTAATGTATGAATTAAGGTTTTGCACTTCACTTTCTATTTTTTAAAATGTAAAATATAATATTTTAATTGTTTTTTTTTTACAATTATGTTGTTATTATGTTAACATTTAATAACAGAATCTTTTGTTATTATACTTCATTAATTCAAGGAATTTAACCTTATTTCTTTGTATGTGCAGCACTAAACAAATGTTACTTGCAATGTACATTGTACTAAGTGTACATATTCAGATTTTAAAATGAAAATGTTAGTTGCTACCTAGCAAATGTTCACAGTTTTCTGGTAGTGCAAGTACTACATTTTCACAGGATAATATACATTATACACTACTGCCTACTGGAAGTGAGCACTCAGTATTAGTTTTGCTCACTTGAGTGTTATTCAATAATAAATATTAATTATTAATAAGCAATGCTAAAAACATGACATGGCTAAAAAGAAATATGTTTGAACTTTGAATTTATATTTTTTTGACCAGTTACTTGTCACAGTAATTGATAATGATAACAAAATGTTAACATTGCCCTATCTGCATAAGGCGGCCAGACTTCAATAATATTGAAACGAGTCGGCTATCTAGTTTAATAATATATATCTATGCTTAGATCATAAGTACGGATGGAGACAAGGTGTATAGATTATAATTTATAACCCTTCAAGTATCAATGCAAGCAATGATAAATGGAACCATGCCCTATAAACGAGCATAGATAATAAAGATTTATTGAGACGCGTAAGTATACTCGTTACATATTTATCACTGCTTATCACCTGTATCACCGAGAATGCAGTAAATATAAATAGGCAACAAATATACACTCGTATGCGAAGATAACACATCTCAACCAGCGACTCGTCGCTTATTTTGCTTCTTATAATATATTATGTGCTTCAAATATCAGGACATGGCTACGTCCACTGTATATCGTGATCCAAGCCATTTAGATTGACGCAGGGGCGGCGCGATAACGAAAAACCACTCGGGAATTAATTGGAAAAATATTTTGAGGTAATAAAAGGCAATAGATAGATAATAATTTAATGCTATCAGTTTATCACAGAACAAAACTAGATAATATAGATAATATAGATATTATCTACGAACAAAATAATGGATGTTTTCTATTTTAATTTTTTATATTTGAACATAACCTAACAAAATCGCCACTTGCAGGAGTGAGAAACTGCCTTCTCTCTCATACTTGAAAGACCGCGACCACTTGCGTTGTATGATTTAACATGGCCTATGGTTATCGAAGCCACCAGAGTTGCCAACGGTACGGTATTCGTCGGAAGAATGGGAGGAAAGTTACTGTCATTTCAACGTACCAAAAAAAAAATTTATTTCAATTTAAACCGTACATACATTACGATAATATTTTTATATATCATAACCGAGTGGTAATGATCGGTAAAATTTATAATTAATTTCTGGTATAATTTCGACGAGGGCTGTACGTAGGCAGAGCCCTACAACAGCCGCGTCGTGGTTGCACGTTTAGTTACCGCTTACCGGTAACTGCAGTGGGGGGGGGGGTGGGCATATCACGGTAAGTGACCAGGATAAGGGCCGCAAAAAAGTGGGAATGATTCTAGAGCCGCCCGTTGGTGTTTTTTCGGTAGGGCCATCACTGAGAGGGCTACGGACGTTTTCGTTGCGCGCACGGCCGTACTGAAGACACCAGACGTCATTGCTCATTTTTATTTTGTGTTTACCGGTCGTGCGTCTATCAAGAGACAAATGTCAACAAACATGACCGTCCTCAACAAAGTGAGTGTTAACGCGATCGATCGTCGTGGAATTCGGCGAATCGATTAATTACGATATTATTATTATTATTATTATTATTATAATTTTATGTTACCGAAAACGTAACCACCTGTTCACCCGTATCATATTTTATAATCGTTACAAACTACAGAAACGAAATAAAATCGTTTTATCGTAACCGCGTTTTTCGCGATTCATTTTCCGTTTTTTCCCCCACAATCGTATAGTATGTCACGGCGATGGCATCCATTCGGCTTGTTGAAGGCAGACGCGTTTTTTTTCATTCCTCCGCACTGTCGGTTGTTTCACAAATACCTACCTACGACCTACCTACTTACCTATGTCTCGCTAAACAGTCGAAAATGTCAAAACTGCATCAGGTCTGAGTGCCCGTGGCTAATCTTGTCTTATTTATGTCGTTATGTTGTTTATTTTGTCGTTATTATAATGTGTCAATAGTACCTGAGTTATTGGTGATACCATTCATCATATTATTAGTTATAAATTAGGTATCATTCATAAAACTATTAACCTTCATTTACCTTGAACCAGAAATTTATCACCGTCGTGGGACCCTCATCTCAATATTATGATTATCGTTGACGTCGATTATATTTGACTGACTTCTGACAACTAACGTGTAAGGCAACTCATGCGGGTATGACGTCCTCTTAATAGTCGTGTGATTCATATGAATCAATTATGGATTAAAATTTTTAAATGAAAAAAGTGTTTAATATATTGTTTAATGCTAACAATCAATTCAAAATTAGAACATTTGATAATGAACTATTTGGTACAAATTTAAATTTTGTTAGTTTGTACAACCCAAATAATACTAAAAAAATGGCTTGTATTATAGGACGCTCCACCAGCAGACATCCCGTCTCCTGATTCACCCTCTTCAAATGATGCACCAGCCAATGATCCACCTCAAACTCATATAAATATCAAAATATTGCGACAAGAAGGCGCAACCCTTAATTATATGATCAAAATGACAACACCGCTTGATATATTGATGAAAGCATACTGTATTGGATCAGTAAGTATAAACTAACAAAATGTATTTGCAATTCTAACCATTATAATTACAGTTACTGAATTCTAGACTAAATTACCATGTAATATTTAAAATCCTAAATTATTTAGAAATAGAATGTATTTTAATCAATAACTACCTACCTGATAAGTGAATTACTTAGGTAGGTATTGATTACATTGTGCAAGTTTAATCTTTTATTGTCAGCACACAAAGTCATACGCGACTAGTTTAATTACTTTGAGGTCTAAAACTTGCTCAGTTGTAGATAATTACTACTAATTATTACCACTAGACATTTTTATAACAACATTGATTTCCAAAAAAAATTTCATTTGCCAGAGAGTAGGTACAATTTCTAACAATTAAGTAGTGAAAAAATTAAACTGTTCAATGATCATCAATCTATTACTTGTGCTAGTAGGCCTATTCTTTTACATTAAGAAAGCTTGGTAGTAGCGATTAGCAAGTAAAATGTAATCGAGGCACTTATTATTTTATTTGGTTGTGTATATTAATTGGGAACAATAATTACATTATTGATACTTTCACATAATTTGAAATTAGTTCCGAAAATCAATACCTATTTACAGATAGGTATTTTACTATCACATAGATATGACCGGCACGATAACTACGTAATATTTCTAGTATTTTGCTATTCTTTGTAGTTTTCATCACTGATGATAATAAAAATTAGCAAAATAAAACTTGTTAGATAAAATTGATAACTTTCAAGGAATTTGGGTGTGATGTCCTTTTAAATTGTATAATAATACAGTAATAGCATTATGTGTGTAAGACTGTCAATACTGAATTATAATATTTAAAAAATTATGTAATTTAAACTTTAAATTTTAGTGTTGATATTTTTTTATTTTATTTACCTATATTAACTAAGTTAAATGCCAGTTTAATATTTAGAATTACAATTAATAACTCAAAATTGTAATGTTTTAGGACTTACCTATGAATGGTGTCAGATTGATGTATAATGGAAGACAAGTTGGTAGGCTTGATACACCTTTATCTCTAGGGATGGAAGAAGGCGAGTCTCTATTGGCATTTCACGACTTTTAAATAGATACTTGTTGATGTATAACAATGTTTGATGTAAACATGTATGTTTATATTATATTAATTATATGCAACATTCTAAGTAAATCATCTTAGTTTATTTAACCTACCATACAATATCTATTTTCTACAAAGCTGGTTGTATTAAAAAAAAAAATTTATAAATCATACAAATGTATAATCAACCAGAACAATGTCAAGAATGAACTATATTAATCAGATACATATATGAAGGTGTATTGAACAGATTTTTGATAAAATAAAAATTGATAATACTTTGTTTATAAACATTTTTATTCATACTATATCATTATTATTATTATTATTATTATTATTATTTTAATATTTCTCTAGCTTAATAATTAATGAAGTTTTTTAGTTTTACTAATACTTTAAATGTTTCATTATATTGTGCAAAAAGTAAATTCTACTATAACTACCTATTAATGTTATTATTAAAGTTATTTACTCAATCCGATTCTCAATAGGTGTTATGCCACTTATTGCATACATTAAGCTATATTGAGCAGAGACATCCTTCACAAAATGGAAACCAAAATATTCATAAAGCCGCATCCACACTGTAAAAGCTTATGTCGTTTGTACAAGTTTTTATACACATGATCCGGGGGGGGGGGACTCCAGCCCTAATATTTTCCAAACAAAAAAAAGGTGGGGTGCTCAATATAATAAAATTAAAAACAAAATAAATTAACTTAACTTATTTCTTAAAATGGAAAATGAATTCATTAATTTTACGTTAATTAAAAAAGAAATTTAGTAAGTTAACAGTTAAGTTAATGAAAAGCCAAAAGTAACTTGTTAAGTTAAAAAGTTAAAATCTAATTAACTTTTTAACTTAAAATTAACTTTTAACTCGTAAATGCCCAGCCTTGGTTAAAGTATTTGATATTAGTTCGAAAATCAATACCTATTTACAGATAGGTATTTTACTATCACATAGATATGACCGGCACGATAACTACGTAATATCTCTAGTATTTTGCTATTCTTTGTAGTTTTCATCACTGATGAATAACTGATGTAAAAAATTAGCAAAATAAAACTTGTTAGATAAAATTGATAACTTTCAAGGAATTTGGGTGTGATGTCCTTTTAAATTGTATAATAATACAGTAATAGCATTATGTGTGTAAGACTGTCAATACTGAATTAATAATAATAATAATTTCGAATTTAATTCCTTAGTACGATTAAAACAATAAATTGAGAAATGAATACATATATTTCTACACTGAAGGCTTGAATACAAGTTTTAGACATATTAATATATTTTATTTTTTCATTTTAAATAAATTGTTGTGCCAACATGTGTAATTTTATCTATTATATAATTTTAAGGTAAGACTTAATCTAGGTCTCCGTGTAGGTTTTTTATATTTTGATTTTGAATCGAGTTATGTACAAGTTACAACATACAAATATGAATAATCATGATTTCGACAATTGTTATCAAAATGTTAACTTCAAATTCTTATTTAAAAAATGTCTAATTATGTACTTATCTTCAATACTTTTTAAATAGCTATAACGACAATTAATGAGAAATCTTGTATTTCTTTTTCTAGCTCTTGTCTGAGTGAGAAGTTTTTTATGGATAATTATAGAAAAAGTACATTAAATTATTGAATATATTATTAATATCTACAAAGTCTCAAAAATGGTCATAGTAGTACATTGGAATAAATTATACCATGTTTGTTTGGAAAGTGCAACATACCTCTGCCCGATAGGTAACAATCATTTATATAATTCATAAATAATACATATTATTTAATATTTGATATATTATAAGATTTTAATAATATTGTATCAATAATAGTACATATATATAAATATATATACTTTGAGTACCAACTTTAATTAACATAAGGTTACCAGAACTACTAGTAATAATATCACTCACCAAGCCGCCGAGGTCTAGTCCCCTCATTTTTTTTTTATGAAGGTAGACAAACTTATGAGGAATTTTGTAATACATTTTTAAACCTTAGATTTAAAAAGAAAATTTTATGAATTTCAAACTCAAAATAATTTGAAAATTTTCATAATTTTTAAGTATTTTGTCAAAATGTTAACATTTAATGCTTATAAAAAAAAATTGTGACTACCTAGGTATTTTTTTATATTTTTTAATTGTCATTTTAACAAGGAGTAGGCAGTGTACTAAAAGTTTGTAATTTATTTTCAAGCTTTTTGACCAAACAAATAAAATGTTGTTGACATTTTTAACAAACTAAAAAAAATATAAACTGGAAATGTCCTTAAACAGCTCAAAACAAGTCAAAATATTAGGACAGTTTTATGGTTAGTGTTGAGCCGAGATAAATATAATTTAATCTAGATAATGATAAAGATAAATTATAATAATGTTAACTAGATAAAGATAAAGATAACTAAATTATTTATTTATCTAGATAAATGATCGGATAAATTTTTTTATATTTTTTTATGACACTATAATTATGATATAATGATATGATTATAATTATTTATAACTTAATAGTATGTTATCGAACATGCCGATAGTTATTAGTATAAACTACAACTTAATAAATTACTTATTTGTCTACCTATATTCTATAATAAATAAATCCGTTTAATAAATTTAATTTATCTAGATAACGGTGATTTTTATCTTAGATACCTAACTGTGTAAATTAATATTTTCTATTTATCTAGATGAGAAAAAAAATAAAAGAATATTTATCTAGATAAGTTCAACACTGTTTATGGTAAATTATATATATTAAATATTATCATGTATGGAATTTTTTGACTTCCGGTAGACAAACTTATGAGGGATCTTGCATTAAATTTTCAAATCTTAGATAAAAATTTTATGAATTTCTAACCCACAATAATTTGATAATTTTACACCATAATATTATTTTTAGACAACTGATTTTGGGTAAAAATTCCCGGTTTTCCTTAATTTATTTGTGTGTTTTTCCTGTCATTTTTTTAAACTACTGGGAATTTTAAATATTGAAATCCCAATGCACTAGATTCACTTTCCCACCGGAAAAGATACTGAAGTAGAAAATCGATGCATTATTTAAACTACTTATATAATATGGTGTACACAGACACAAAAAATAAAAACAATAAAACATACGTCAACATTGTAAAATCAAAAAATTCATCGTTCCTCCAGAATCTTAAGTTACGTTATTCGTTGCCAGTAAAATATAAAATATTATATAATTATAATATAATGTGGTAGGTACTGTTGAAACCCGAACGCAATACATCCCGCCACCAAACGACACACACGCACACGATGATAATAACTAGGGCTCGGATTTTAAAACATAATAAATAACAAAAAAAGCACAACATTTTTTAAAAAAAGCAAAAATGATGCATATTTATTTTTCAAAAAAGCAAAAAATAGCATGACTAAAAATTGACATAAATTAGTTATAATTTTATAAAACTGAGCAAAAAAAAATTAAAAAATTAAAAAAGAATTTACTACCATGTATTTGGCAAGATTTTCAGAAGTGAAACTGACTCTATTGTCTGACAGGATATTTTTATACATAGAAAACGAACGCTCTATATCCACCGAAGTGATCGGTGCATACTTCATGCAAGAGGTTTCGTTTAAATCAAACCCATGATAATTAAATTCGATTGATGAAACACTAGACAGTATATTATTAATGTCCAGTAATTGTTTCCAGCCTTTGTTTTTCATAAGAACACGATTTAGTTTACCCGAAATTGCAGTTGATATGTCACCATTTGCTTCATTTAGTTTCTTTTCTGCATCTAAGACAATATTTATACATGTTGTCAACGATTTGCCCAAAATTATACATATAATTTAGTATTTTAATGTTCACAAAGCTTGCAATATAAAATCGAGCCATCTGTCTGAAAAATTCTTCACCAAATTCAAACACTAATTTTTTTAAAAATACGTTTGTTTTAACTTTTGGCATTTTAAGAATTACGACACTATAAACCACTATAAAACGTAAATGTTGAACTGGTCGATATCGATGTTATACGAGTACTAAGAGTAATTTCTACAGGCTATATGCATTAGTCGATAAGCTATCGACCCATAATCTGCGTCTGTAGATCGATAATCTATACGTTTAAGGTCGCTTCACACTAATGGTACGGTCGCGGTCTGGCGATGGGTAAAATATAATACCTATATTTATATTATAAATTATTATTGCGGGTTTTCACATTTCTTTTTCAATTAAAAAATTCCACTGCTAGAATAACTGAAAAAAGCAATAAAAAAGCAAAAAAAGCATTTACACTAAAAAAAGCAAAAATAAATTCGTTTATTTGAAATCAGATTAACGTGAAACAAATTTATTTAGGGAGCCATGGCGTCCTAGACAGTTTTCTAGGGGGGGAATCTATTTTTTAAATCAATAATTACCCCATGTGTAAATATTTGTCAATAGTTTGGGTGAACATACGTCACTTTTACTGACTTTATTTTTTATTTTAATGCGACTACATTACAAATAAGTTTACGCAACAAAGTATTGTTTCATAAATTCACCTTTAATTTATAGTGCTGTTGTAATATAAAATAATTAAGTACAATGATATATGGTACCAACAATGAAAAAATAAATAATAAAATAATTATAATAATAGTATATAAGTGCAATTATTGTTATACAATAAAATCAATTTCCGTTTGTTTTTCGGTCAATTATATTATTTATAATATTACTATTATTATTCTACTTCAATATCTCTATGTACATTATACATGCATTAATGCCAGTCCAGCCAATAAATGATAACAATTAACAAGGTAATAAATCACGTTATCACACAGATATGTTATTAAGCCGATAACCGATACCCGCATAGACTATGGCGATACCTGTATACCACATAAACAAGGCTGGGCATTACGAGTTTAAAAGTTAAGTTAAAAAGTTAATTTTATTTTGACCTTTAAACTTAACTAGTTACATTTAGCTTACTAAATTTGTTTT